AAAATATATATTTTTTAAAATATAAAGACATTAAAATAAAAATTTAGAAGTTTTGTAATAATATTGGCCTTTCCTAAAAAAAAAAAAAGCTACTTATAATCTATCGTAGTTTAATAATAAGTAGTACATAAATACAGATAGAAAAAACACAGTTATACGACTAGTATTGAAAGCGCATAATAATGCAAATACGAATGTGCGATTGGAAGCTTAAAGCTTCCCAAGAAAAAATGAACTTATGTAATTATATAAGATATAATGTAATTATATAAGATATCATATAATTATGTAATTATATAAGATATCATATATACATGTGAACATATATGATTTCTTGTGTCCATTTTTTCTCGGGTTCTAAGCCTCGTTTGTCGTAACAAAAGAATTTTATCAATCGTACGTAACGTATATTAATTTTAGGCCTAAAATAGGAATCTGCTGTCACATAAATTAATTTAATATTCTAGAATATAAACTCGCGCGCACGTGTGTGTGCCCAATCTTATATATTATATATATTACTTTATTTCTGTATATACATAAATTTTATATATTTATGTATCTCTCTCTATATACGTATATATACATATATATCATAATCATTCTATCATATATATTTCATAGAACTTCAAAAGTGTGCTTCTACGCAACAAGTGATTTTTATTGTTTCGCGTTGATTTTAAGTCCTTCTATTACTCACACAATGTTTATCAATGTTCTTGTTATACACATATAAGTAAATAAAACTTTTCGAAAACAGTTTTTACATATACTGATAAAAAAATGTTTTTGAATTTGCACAATACGGCACATGAAGTATGTAGATGGAATATTAAATTATTTTCACAGTAAAAAGATATAAATAAATAAGTATAAATATTTTGCTTATGCAGTTTATAGACGTTTTTAGTTGCAATCAATCGTGCTTTTATAGTTTTTATATTATTTTTGATTTCTATTAAAATTTTAAGATTTCTTTTATCATTAACATCATTTATACATATATGTTATATATGTATAATATTTTTATACTTTTTCTCTTACTCTTTAAGTTCATATTCTCAAATTCGATATTTAAATATTAAATACTTATGCGCACTACCCTGTAATTTTTAAATGCAGAATTCCTTGATTACGAAGAAATGGTACAGCAATTTGAGAAAATTTGATTTAGAAGTTCAAAAAATTTCTCGAAAATGTTTACAAACATAGTATACAGATTTTATAAGGGCAGTGAATTTAAGTATGAACACATTGGCACATTTTAAAAGAAATCTTTGTTGTATGTCCCATCATAATCTAAGATTTCAGAAAAAAATTATTTATGATTCTTGTAGATGTATACTGTGTGAATATAGAATAAATATTTGTTGAAAACATCAATATATATATATGCTCTGACAAACATGTAGTATAAGTCCAGCAATATTGTAACAACATTTGATTCTGATTTGATAAATACTATTAAATATACTTTCAGTTTCCAGTTGCGTCTATCACATCTAATGCTAGAACAGTTTATTTGTTCTATAACTTGTTTAATTTGTATCCTATGTCTCATTTGGACCTGGTGCAATTGTTTGATGATTTTAATCATAGCAAGTACGAATGCAACAAGCTATTTTGCTAGCTATTCTGTAAGATTAAGTTGACTGAATCACTATTAAATTTTTTCCATCAGCTACCTTGAGAATAGAATAGAAATTAATATCCTATATATTATTTAAACTTGATGAAGTTGTTTCATTATTTCAATCATAGCAAATATAAATGCAACTATTTTGCTAAATTAAGTTAAACAGAAATACTAAACTCATCATCTATCTAACAATAGATTCATTTACTAAATCGAAGTATAACCGGTGAAAAAATAACCTTCACGGCTGCGGGAAATGGAATTAATTTGCATTTCAGAAAGATCATAACACGTGCGTCAAATTAAATAATTCTTTGTTTAAGGTAAAAATAAGAAATGCAAGGTAATAATCGATAAGAATGGCAAGATTAATCTTGCCATTCTTATCGATTATTACCTTGCATTTCTTATTTTAATTTGACGCACGTGTTATGATCTTTCTGAAATGCAAATTAATTCCATTTCACGCAGCCGTGAAGGTTGATCGTGGATCCAGAAAACTCTCGTTTTCTTTGGTTTGCCACATCTCGCACGAAAATTATCATTAAATTATAATTGGCACTTTCATTCCTGTGAATCAATAAAAGATTGATTTTAATGATAAAACGGTTATAAAATCATAATCCGAATGATAATTTTCGTGTCTTATCAAGTAGAAGATATCGAATCAAAATTCAACTGAGTGTTTCTTATTTAATTTTCTCTCTAAACAATCGTATAAAAGATAAAAAAAGAAATTTTGAAAGAAACAACATGTCATTATACTAAAATAATTATAAAACATCCAAGCTTATATATTTTTCTTGAAAATAATACAATCAATTGATCATGTATGTTCAAACTTTTTTATTTCTTTATCTTAAATTATTTTTTCACCGGTTATATTTCGATTTAGTAAATGAATCTATTCATCTAAAGAATTATCTTTTTTAAAAAGTCATTGATTTGATGTTCAAGTAAAAAATATAGATATGTTGATATAACACACCGTTTAACATATCTAATACGAATGTACACAAGTTTATCCTCGCAAAAAACTGATATGAAATCGTCTCGTCTCTCGTTTCATAATTCATTATACGACAATTATGGAAAATAACCATGGCACTATTCTTTTTCTAGTACATTAAAAAAAAGAAGTAAAATTTAAACAATAAGCGACCAATGTAACAGCTGAATATTCTCCTCGATATTTTTGAGAACGCTTGACTGTGATTAATCCCGATTTCAACGTCAATAATATGACTGTAGGAAGATACTTTTTAAAAAATGCTGTCAATTAAACATTTGTAAAAATGGCACTAACCTGAAAAAATCTATAAAAGATTTCAGTGGCACATGAATTATAATATAGAATAAAGCATTGTTGCGAAATCTACTTTTACAAGTGAGGAACCTATTGAAGTTAATCGACTACTTATTATTTTTGCGCACTTTGTGCAATACTTATCAGTCGTTTTGATTTTAAACTTTATCATTTATCCTACGAAAAAAATTATGCGGTTGCATTGTACGCTATATAAAATCTACACGAGCGACATTAATCATTGGTCGGTGGATCCATAACACAGATTATAGCTTTCATTACACTAGCTGCCGCTAATGCCGCGTAAGGTTGCCATTCTTTGATTCGGGTACCATCTTTATAATCGGCAATTCCGCGAATTACGACGAAATTTTCACGGCAATTACCTAAAATACTCTCTACCACGGCATCCATTTCCGCGTCAAATGCAAGTGCGCCGAATCGACTTGCGAACTTTTGCCTAAGTTGATCGTCTCGTGCGATTTGTCGACCAGATGCCACTGGCGCTAGATGAATTCGAGAACATCCATCAATTCTGTAATAATATTAATACAATATTAATATATATATTAGTATATTATACTTTTTTATATATAGTATATTATACTTATATATTAAAATATGGATTTATTTATATGGTTCAAACAAATTAATTTAAATCAATTACCTTTTATTTATAGAATCCTGTGGTGCAGTTGGATGGGATACTTCGATAACATCTCTTTCTCCAATAGCCATATATAGTTTATCGGATTCTGGTGGTGGTGCGTTAAAGTCATGTTCCGACTGATTGATCAGATTCTCCAAACCTTCCTTCGTATACTTCTGCCATGGTGGAAATGCTTCGTTTTCAGCCTATGGAAAAATGTAAGATAATAATAAATAAATATTTTCAACAAACAAATATACATATAATATTGTTCATGTAAATATCGACTAAATGACCTCTTTTTTAAGAGACGCCGCGATTTCTTGAAGACCGAGATTTGGCGGGCAATATTCTTTGGTCTCGAAATGATAATTTCCATTTTCGTTCATCTTGGCACTTTCGCAATAAATGTATGTATATTTATTATTGTACGGCGTTGGATGCGATATTACTACATCACCCAGTCGCACGTGTTTATTGTAATCTGTATAGTGAGGAACACCACCACCGACTCCGACAAGAAAAACAAAATCCACCTTTTGGAACGTACCTGTATACATAAATGCAAAAACAAAAGATTGTAACAACATGTAATGGAACGTGTGTAATAAAATTGAAAAAAAAAAGAAAAAAAAGTTAAGAAAAGAATACTGTGTACACACCTAACAATCTGGTAATGGTATTGCCAGCTGCAGTCATTGCTTCTCTAGTATGGCCCACAGTTGGCAATTTAGTGCACACAATCCTATGTGCACCGATATTGCCCAAAGTATAAACGTTTGATTCCCCTATAACAAACAGTAGCTATTTATTTTTCATATTCTTATGTACCTTAGAGTTTATGTTTCCGTCTATTCTTGATTTGCATATGATACATTGTGCGTTGTGCGGCTATCAACAAAGTAGAATGGAACCTGTGTCATATGTGATGATAAAATAGATAACAATTCATTCCATATAGATGTATTTCCCAAATAGTACTAGATATAATGGAAATAAATACACACACATATAGTATTATAAAAATCTATTTAAAAATCTTATTTAGTTTTGTTAAAAAGTTAAACTTGCTTGTGTGTGTTAAGATGCTGAATATATTTTACAGAATATGTGTTTTGCAATTATTGAGAATATAAATACTTTACTGAAATTTTTAAGGAGTATTATTAATAATAATAAAGAAAAAATAAGAAATAAATATTTTTCTTTGCTACAATATAATAAATATTTGAGAAATGAAAAAATTTAAAAATAAAGATATTGATATTAATTGTAAATATGATAAAATTTAACAAAATGATATAATGCATGTATCCCATAAAATGAACATAATACACAAAACATATACATAAAAACAAAAACACCATACATAAAACAATCATAAAGCTGTACAAAAACATTTTGTGTTAATATTAAATATTCATAATATGTAAAAGAAATTATTATGATGAAAATTAGAAAATGACTAACATAGCACATGAAATGGATTTATAGCATGACAGAAACACTGTGTTCTGAAATACATGTTATAGCATCACGTCCCTGCATTGTTCTTCAATCACAAGCAATTGGCAAGTTATGAAATGATATTAAAATAATGATAGAGATCTTTGTTATAAACTACTTTACCAAAACGGCATATCACTCGCGGAACTCCATCTGTCGTATCTGGTGAGCTTGCAGTACCTAAAGTTTCATGCATAGTGAAATATACATTCCCAATATTGTTTAAGTATTTGCCGCCAATTAATAGATAAGATAAATTAATAATCATATATGCATATAGGGAAGTGGAAGAGGAAGGAATGAGCATATAACCAAAATGATGATAGAAATTTAGTAGAAATAATTTAATTAAAAATTTTTTAAAACAATTCTATGCAATAACACGTTTTAAGAGAAAGTATGTAGAAATAAAAGCAAAAGAGTTAACAGAATTATTTTTTAAATATTTTAAGAGATTTCAGTTACCACTATTTGTCTTATGAGAATAGAATAGGAATTAGTTTATATTTCATTATTCAGGTCTATGTTTCAGTGTTATAGTTTCAGAGTTATAGTTTTAGAATTATCATTCTTGTGTGTAATATGAAGTAAATATTAAAATGCAAATGGTAAATAACAAAAAATCTTACCAACAGTAGTGTAGCGGACAAAGGTTTCCTTGTTTTCAATCATTGAATCCACAGCAAGTTTCTCACAATATTGAGCTGTAATAATAGCTACGGTAGGTTGTTTTGCGCTTGCCATTGTTGGCATCTGCTTCACTACCTAAAAATAAATTTTACAATGTTAGAGGACATGTAAGTTAATGAAAAAAAAATTAGTTAAGATGTTATATATAATCAAATAATAATAAATTACTTGAATCTGAGTATCTTCGTGAACGACACGTGTGAAAGCCCCATGATCCAATGATTTAATGAGTCCTTTCTCTTGAAGTTCTTTCAACTTAGCCTCCACATCTAACGGTTCCCATCCATGCTCCCTAAAACAACATTATTAAAAACTAATTATTATACAGTAGTTGATTATAAAAATAATTACATATAATTCCATTTAAATATATTAATCTCTTTATTTAAATTATATTTAATACAAGTACTTACTTTGATATGTCAACCACAGTTATTGGGTTTGGATAGGCAGACTCAATGAGCTCCAGAACTTTTTCTACTGTTAACTCAATCACTTGACCCATGATGGCTTCATCTGCAGATACTTTTAATAAAAAAAAAGAAGAAAAATTTATTTCATCATGTAATTGAATTGATGGAATTGATAAATTTGGCAGATTTTAAAGCTGCACGTATGCCTATTGTAAATATTAAATTATAGTTAATAGCGTCGAGACAAGAATAACAGCACTCCATATGCAAGTTAAATTTTCTGCCGTGTGTAAATGAGAGTGTAGATGAGTCTAAGTTTGTATATTAAGTAACTTCTAATTTTTGTCAATGTAAAGATATGTGAAAGTTTTGATATGTGTCGTACAGCTGTAATATAGTGCACAGTTTAACTAATGTTTTTTTTCTATAACTAGAATCGAGCTAGAACCGTTAATGAAGGATACAGCTAAAGTGTATATGTGAAACTTGAACATATATGTATATGGTAGCTAATAACCATGATTAAAAGGTTCGTGCTCTACATGGATGCATTTCCTTACAAGATGGGAACTAAAATGGCAATATTATTGTATTATGTATTCGTTAATGAATAATCAATTAGTAGTAATCAGAATTTAGGGAAAATAAAAATGATATAAATTTCAAGAATATGGAATAATACGTGCATATGTTTTTGATGCTATGCGAGCTGCTTTATTTAAAATCAATGTAGATAAAACAATACATTGTCGAGAAATAAAATTTTAATTAAAAGAATCCATATTCAAACAACTAATATTTATTATATAATATGTCAAGTTATTTGCGTAAGTAAATTGTGAAATGTGTTTTATATAATGGATAACAATTTTATATGTCTATAATCATGCTGTATGATAGGGTAGATATGCACCATGTAGGAAATACAATATCCAGGTCAAGTCAAGTAGTTAAGTGGGATGTTTTTTACACTCTAATTAATGTATTCTCTAGTGATCGTTCTGTTAAACAGATCGGAAAATCCTTTTACATGATTAAAGAATATAATGGACATTTTATAAGCTTGTATAACATATTTTGTTTCGATTTTAATCAAAATGATAAAAATGTATCGTTTTATTTCTCTCAAATTATTAAATGGAATATCATTATATATAAATCAATGCAATGTAAATCATAATGCTAGGCAAACTATGTTAAGCCAATGTTGTTATGGTTACCAGATGATATTGTGCCAAGCAACTTAATATATATATGTGTGTCTACCAGCTATTTTTTTTATTATAAAATTATATTGAAAAAAAATTCACAACTATTTTGCCTCAAATAATTATTGTGTTATAAGAAATTTTATTATGTGTGTATCAGTTTTGTTTGGATTATTAGCCTGTGTATGAGAAAAAGAGAACATCAATAAAATGTGACAAAAATGCTGAAATTTTTTCATTCTCGAACCTGATGTCCATATAACTTTCTCAGAGGGAGGAAGTGTGAATAGTAAGTGACCAGTAGCTGTGAATAATAGAAATTAAGTATGAAATAGATGTTCACGCTTAATACAATATAATTGTGAGCACAAAATGTACATGAGAAAACTCTGACTTAAATTACATAATGGATATATGTAAGCAACTGAGAGTTTTAGTCAAGTATGCATTTCCTTTTGGGTTCAGCTGCAATGTGCACTTGCTCCAATATCTTTCAATAAAGAACCATTAAGCACAATCAGTTTAATCAAATAACTGTTAACCCTTCTCCCGTATAAACTTTTTAGTTCATTAGCCAAAACAAGATTGCACTCGAAAATGAGAATATATGTAAAATATATGCAGATATGTCTATGTAGTACATAATAAAGAAGAAATAATTATTTACTCACATGGTCTGCTTGGAAGTGTGATTGGTTCTTCCAGTTGTCTTAACTCTATTTCCAGTTTTTTAATACTGGGATACTTATGTTGCATCAATTTCATTATCTTTTTTATAAATCCCACGTAATCTAGAGAAGAGAGAAAGAGAAACTAATTAATATCATAGAAATATATAGAGCAAAGAAAAATAAGTTCAATTTTTTATCGATGCAATTAAATTAAAAATTTGCAAAAAATAAATTGATATTATATGATTGATATAAGATTTCATAAATGCTAAATTTGATATTCCTTCTTAAATATCATGCAAGAATTGAGATCCAAATTTATTTTCCTGCTCTCAACAGTTTAAAATTAGATCTTAGTTCGTGCTTAAGAGCAACATAGAAATATTACTCATTTATATTCCTCAGTTAGATTGGAGATATTTGGTCTCAAGTAGTTCCATGAAATGTACGTGTGTTATCAATCAATGTGTATCATATTACAGTTCACCTCTAGGAAATTCCTGTGGAGTGACAAGTTCTCTGAAAAATTCTTGTGCAATGCTGGGCTGTTCCGATACGGAGAGTGTATCGGTGAACCAGAATTGAAGAGTTCTTTGTTCTTGTGTATGCTTTCCAGTTTGTGCGCTCACTAGAAACACTCTGAATTGTAGGCAAAGCTGGGCAGGACATACTTCTCCATTCGTTACTGTAAGAGTTTGATATTTTATTGTAATCGAATGTCAACTGGAAATTAAATAAAGACATACCAGCCACAGCCTGTTTGTTGATGACAATTCCTTTGTGATCGCCACCAGCAATGTGAACATTGTTTTCGTTTCCATTCTCCGCCGGAGGCTCCAAGGTTTGCCTCTCTATTATCAGTGTTGTGGAATTTGAAGTCTTGCATTTTGGTGTCATTACAATGTGCTCTGCTCGAAGGAAGAGAGAAAACGTGTTCATAAAATGTCTATCTTTGTCTTATCGCGCGTGATAAAATTGACAATTATCCTTCATAAGTCTATTGCGATTTCTCTAAAATTTACACTTTTAATAATCCTTTAGCATTCTTCGAATAATTTAATTCAGGATAATAATCTCGAAGAAAGAAATATGTTCGCATGAAGATCACGTCGAATAATTCTTCCAATATGAAAAGATCACGTTTTCGTTGATTTTGAAATGAAAACAATTTTATGTCCGAATTTCTGATTGTTTTCTCTTTATGCATTTTTTACTTATCTCCAGATGTATGATAAAAGAATCCGTTTTATCACTTACCAGTCTTTTCATCCATTTTTGCTACGTATTTTCTTTCGGGCTGCTGATACGTATTGTTACACTTTTTTCACAAAAGTGACAGGAAGAGTTAGGCGCACTGAACTAGAACACTTTGAATAGGAATACAATAAAATTACAATACTCCATCCATTAAGAACGACGAACAGTCACTGGCTGACTGTCACGTCACCACTCACTTCTTGCCATTACCAGCAGTGACGACATCGTGAATCGGCGCTGGCGCTTGTGAAGTCAGCAGTCGATGCATCATCCTTTTTCACCTCACTCCCTTCTCCTCTCACCCATTGAATGATTTGCTGTCTTACTCTTCTATTTTACATTTGTCACGATGCAGTTTTTATTGTGGAATGCCAATGGGAGAAATTAATGAAAAGAGGAATATACTAATAATGTACGAAAAATAATTAGAAAGCGCTTTAATTATTAATCGATAACCTTTTGCCTTACCAGAAAAATCACCGTTATCGTCATTCGTATTTAAACCTAATGCTAATTATCTCAAATTATCATATGATGAGTCATGGGCAGCAGACTGACGTCATCATGGTTTATATAATACAATTTATAATTGTGAATATATTATTCTTTGTATATAAAAAAATATATGACAAGATAAATATATATTATAATTGCAAAATAAAATGTGTGCATATGAAGGTTTTATTTGCGATACTTTATAACAAATAATATACACTTGTATTGAATTAAATAAAATATTACAAAAATGTTTTAATAAATATACATTTCTTAAAATAACGATTATTGTGAGAGATGAACAAATAAAATGAATTATATGAGCAAATTACTTTAACTGGGGATTACATAATAAGTATACCAACATTTAATGAATATGTCACAACAAATATCGCCCAAAATTCAGAGAATATTTACTTCTACAATTTTCGATCAATGGCTTTAATCTCCTGAACGGCATTATGTGATATATTATCATAAGTGTCTTGACGATATCTATAAATTATTGCAAAACACATACATATATATAAATAAGACTTTTATCAACAAATTCCCTAAAAATATTTTAATATACAATCTAAATGTTTATTAAAATTCCAATAATATATTTAACTAATATATATCTTATCATATTAATGAAAGATATATTTCTATTAGAATTACTATTAATATGTTTAGCACATTTAATATGTATATCTTTAAGTAGTACAAGTTGTTTTAATATAGCTAACTTCCATTAATAACAAAAAATAAAAAATATTGGCAACTATCCATTTAATATTATATCTAATAAAATCATCACAAAGCACAGTAATCAAAATTTTTCAATATTTTATATGTGATAATTAATTTTAATAAGAAATTATTAAAACAATTAAACAAACTTATGTTTTTTATCTCAGAGGAATTGATGAAATAGATGTCATAGATGTTAATGAAGACGGTCCAGAACTAAGATTAAGTTTATCCAATTCTTCATCTGCTTTGTTGTTCTTCAGATCCTGTTGCGTGTACAAAAACTTGTTCCATTCATCAATCCTTGGATGAGCTAAATGCTATATTGGAAGAAAAATGAAACGCAGTTTCTTCGTAAATTTCAATAATAAAATGTATATATTACCATATTTATTATATAAAGAATCGAGAAAAAAATCTTCAAAGTAATCTTACGTACCTCGGCGACATCATAGACCCATATTTTACCCGTATCATCTCCGACAGTGACGTGTAATCCGCTCGGCGTCCACGACACTCTGTTCAGAGCCGGGGACCCATCGACGACAACGCTAGCGGTAGGTACCTCCGTATCCTGGTTCAGATTCCACAAATCCAGCCTGCCTGAATCGTCAACAGCAGCAAACAGCGCCGGGTGTGTCGGCGACCAGGCGACATCGTAGACATAGTCACCGTTATGCTCGAAAGAATACAGCGGCTTATTCTCTTTGAGGCTCCAGAGTTTAATAGTCCAATCGAGGGAAGACGTCAGGAACAGATGGGAGAAATCTATCCCGCCCTGTACTGCGTGTGCGCTAATGCCGGTGACCGGTCCCTGATGACCTTCGTATGTTTCTGTTAACCCGGCGCGGCTACCGTGTCGGCAGGCTATTCGATATTATGTTGAAGTCGTGTTAGTAATTTTTCGTAAGAAATACACACACAATGTGACATAAATATATTATACATACATATGTAACATAGACAATTGCATTTACCTGAATAAACGGTCCCGTCTTCGCTTCCCATGACGAAATTATTAACGTCACCATGCGGAAAGGCCAAGCATGTAGCAGCAATCGCTTTCGATTGCTTCGTATGCAATTCCAACGCTTCCTGCGGTTGCGATAACATATCTAGACTCCACGAACACAATTTCCCATCCGTCGAAATACTGATCAGATTGTGCGCGTTTTGCGTTCCAACGACGTTCAAACAGTATACAGGGTGCTGTAAAATAAATAATAATTTTCACAAACAATCAAAGAGAGAGTTAACTATCTAATTAATACGCATAGCAAAATGTGATAAGTCACTTACAGTGTGCGCGGTAGCGGACAGAGGAGTGCGCTGTATGGGAGTTCTCTTCTGTACTCGATTGTCCCAAAGTACAATCTGGCCAGAATAAGTGCCGCCCAAGATCAAATTCGGATGAAATCTGGCGAACGTGGTGGACATAACAGGCGATTGACAGTGAAAGATAAATTCCGGGGTTGTTTTCTTGAATTTCGTATTCCAGATTAGGCATACTCCGTCAGGATCGTTTGGAGTGTCGTCGTTGTTATTGTACGAAGCCGCTAAAAGCTCGGGAAACTGGGGCGACCAGTCCATAGAAGTTACACAACGATTACGGGACCATCGTTCGCAGATAAACGAACGATTTAGCCAAAGTCGTTGATGACTCTTCTCGTCCCTGCAAATGCAACGTTTATAATTCCATGTGCGCAATCGTTGATAATCGAGCAAGACGTATCTACTATGAAGCAGTTATAATTACAGCTTATACAAGAGAAGATTAAAAAGATTGAAAAATAAAAAACATTTTAAATGCCGTTTTTTATACTTACATTCCATCTTCACCATCCATAGTACCAGTGTAATCAGTGTAAATATCGACTGATTCGCCTAATGCTCTCTCCACAATCCTGCTAGTGCGATCGAGGAATCGTTGAAAGTCCTCGGACAGAATAATCATTTGCTTCTCTTCTTCACTAAGTTCTCGTACTTTTGGAATTAATAAAAATAAAGATGTTTTATCGTCAAATGTAGGACCGATGCAAGGAAAATGATGATTTTACTCACCTTCTTTCTTGGGTTTTTCTTTCTCTTTCTCTTGCTCTACTTGCGTCACGGCAGGCTGGACTTCCTTAACTTGCGGCAGTCCATGAGGGAGAATTCCTGGTGGGAGCTTACTTTGGAAACCATCCATATGCGGCAAGCTATTTTCTTCGTCTTCGGCTTGGCCATCATCAAATGTCAAAACTGTGGTGAATAAGCTGGTTCCACTGTACCCTAACTTGGATGTAACTAACTATCTAGCTACTGATCTACCTATATTTACTTAGTTTCGCCAATACTCTAACAAATTTATTAAATCTTTTTCAGAGATGCTGTGTTTTTATATAAAAAAAATGAGAAAAAAATATTTTACAATAAATATAAAATAAATTAGAAAATATTCATAATGCAGCAATTTGTCATTTTATATATATATATCCATGAGAGAAAAATAACACTATGCATTCTACTAATCCGTAAATCCTAACATTAATTCCTGCAATATCTTATATCTGTTTTTACATTTCAACTGCCAAAATTTACATGCCAGCATATCACAAAAAAATGAATTTATCCTGATTTCTTTAAAACAGAGTATATATAATATGTTTCTTAATATAAATTATACATATGTAACTATATAACTCTTGCAATATTTAGCAACAAAACTTTTTTTTAAGGAACAACATTTAGAAGCTTTGATAAATATACCATATATTGATTAATATACCATGCTAAAAAATTCAAGTTTTTATAAATAAAAACAAAATATTATATATATGAAAATGTGAGCCTAGATGACATCAAAATTAGACATGTATACGAAAGGTGGACTGCTTGTTGATAGACTATCACAAATAAGACTGATTTTATATATATTATATATCGTACCACATTTTACTTTTTCAATTATTTTCAATTTCTCTCCACCCTTTGTTGGCATGCAATATCAATGAAATAGAACAATGTATGGGAAATGTAAAGAAGAATGTAAATATTCTAATAAGAAAATATTGATTTTCCCTTTATCCGTTATTAATTAAATTATTATCATATAGAAATCACGCGCGTATAGAATGTGACAATTATATGTGAAGTTTCACCATCTCTCTCTTTTATAGTATTAATATTAATTTTGTAAATATAACGATTAATGATGAATATAAAGAATTTGCGAAGATCAATGAATAATGAAATCGAAAAAGAAGTGAGTTTTATCACCACAGCTAGAGCTTTTTTAAAATAATGTAATAAATTGCATATAGAGTGTGGGGATAAATTAACGCAACTTTCCAGGTCTCATGCAGTGCTAATTAAATTTATAACAACTACGATAATGACAAGGAATAAAATAAAATCTACAATTTTATCAAAATAAACTAATAAAGGCTTTTATGAATATATCATACGAAGGAGACAAAAGGCAATCAAAAGCCAGCGCGGTAATTCGTGCGCATATGTTTTATTATGATTTTACTCACCTTCTTTCTTGGGTTTTTCTTTCTCTTTCTCTTGCTCTACTTGCGTCACGGCAGGCTGGACTTCCTTAACTTGCGGCAGTCCATGAGGGAGAATTCCTGGTGGGAGCTTACTTTGGAAACCATCCATATGCGGCAAGCTATTTTCTTCGTCTTCGGCTTGGCCATCATCAAATGTCAAAACTGTGGTGAATAAGCTGGTTCCACTGTACCCTAACTTGGATGTAACTAACTATCTAGCTACTGATCTACCTATATTTACTTAGTTTCGCCAATACTCTAACAAATTTATTAAATCTTTTTCAGAGATGCTGTGTTTTTATATAAAAAAAATGAGAAAAAAATATTTTACAATAAATATAAAATAAATTAGAAAATATTCATAATGCAGCAATTTGTCATTTTATATATATATATCCATGAGAGAAAAATAACACTATGCATTCTACTAATCCGTAAATCCTAACATTAATTCCTGCAATATCTTATATCTGCTTTTACATTTCAACTGCCAAAATTTACATGCCAGCATATCACAAAAAATGAATTTATCCTGATTTCTTTAAAACAGAGTATATATAATATGTTTCTTAATATAAATTATACATATGTAACTATATAACTCTTGCAATATTTAGCAACAAAACTTTTTTTTAAGGAACAACATTTAGAAGCTTTGATAAATATACCATATATTGATTAATATACCATGCTAAAAAATTCAAGTTTTTATAAATAAAAACAAAATATTATATATATGAAAATGTGAGCCTAGATGACATCAAAATTAGACATGTATACGAAAGGTGGACTGCTTGTTGATAGACTATCACAAATAAGACTGATTTTATATATATTATATATCGTACCACATTTTACTTTTTCAATTATTTTCAATTTCTCTCCACCCTTTGTTGGCATGCAATATCAATGAAATAGAACAATGTATGGGAAATGTAAAGAAGAATGTAAATATTCTAATAAGAAAATATTGATTTTCCCTTTATCCGTTATTAATTAAATTATTATCATATAGAAATCACGCGCGTATAGAATGTGACAATTATATGTGAAGTTTCACCATCTCTCTCTTTTATAGTATTAATATTAATTTTGTAAATATAACGATTAATGATGAATATAAAGAATTTGCGAAGATCAATGAATAATGAAATCGAAAAAGAAGTGAGTTTTATCACCACAGCTAGAGCTTTTTTAAAATAATGTAATAAATTGCATATAGAGTGTGGGGATAAATTAACGCAACTTTCCAGGTCTCATGCAGTGCTAATTAAATTTATAACAACTACGATAATGACAAGGAATAAAATAAAATCTACAATTTTATCAAAATAAACTAATAAAGGCTTTTATGAATATATCATACGAAGGAGACAAAAGGCAATCAAAAGCCAGCGCGGTAATTCGTGCGCATATGTTTTATTACATTTTTGATATCATATATTCCATATACTTTATAATTACGCTGAAGATGGTTCGAAAAAAGGACCGAAATGTACACTTTTTGTGATTATGTCTATCACTTATTAGTTAAAATATCAATGTAACTTGATTGTAATAAAATATATGAGCACAAATTACTGTACTCTTGATGGCGTTTTGTCTCCTTAGTATGATACAATTTTATCGTTTTAATTCTCAAAATCATAAAAGATTAATAAATGTGCAATAACAAAATCTCTTAATTAAAGTGTCAAATCTCAAATATATTGCCAATTATTAGATAACAATTTGCAATATAATTGCTGCTTTAAAAAATAACAATGCTATGAACAGTTCAATTTCTGCATGCGCGATACTTAAAGCGAATATCTTAAGAAGAGAAACATAAAAGAATAAAAAATAAAGCATCTTATCAAGCAATTTGTAAACGTCAGCGGCAATTCCCTCCTTTCAGTGCAAAATAAAGCAAAAATAACAAATTACAATAAGAAAATTATGTGAAAATTATTTTTAGACGCAACTTTGTGAAAGTGTGAATTATGGGCATGTCCGTGAAATAATTAAGTAAAGTGAATCGTCTTTAGAGAGGATTACCTACCTGTAAATTCGTCCTCCCATTCTAAACCAGGATTTAGATTGTACTCGTCTTGAAGGAGGGAAAAGAAAATGTCAATCAATTTGATATCCTATTCGCCGGAATAGTTTGTAGGCTTTTTTTAAATATTTTTCAATAAACATTATTGATGCATAATGTACATGTATAAAAATTAAAAGTTACTTGAGTCTTTTTCGTTTCGTACATTAATTTAATCGTGAAAAATTTATATTGTTGCATCATTCTCGCAATAATATATTGCAAAATAAGATTCAAATAACTTCTTCTGTTTTTTTGTCATGCATATTACATCAACAATTGCTTAAGAAATTTGAAAATAGAAATTGAAATGATCAAATCATAGAGTATATATGTATATAATGTACGCATACACAAGCGTACAATATTCCCATTAACAATTGTATGTTTTAAAACATTGATCCACTCTAAAAGAGGCCCATTTCCAGTCCATTATTTCTTAATGTGCATTTTCACAAGACTAATATCTATCTTTGTTTAAATATCAGACATAGAAGAAATGATAGGAATCTTTGTTCTAGATTTTTCTACATATTTTTAATATATCAAAATATTTTTGTTTTGCATAATGCGTCAATTGATATAGAATATGATGAGGTACGATATTTTTCGGAAATTAAATTTGGCGTCAAAACTCAGTATTATAAATCTCAGAAAAAAGTTTCGGTAACAACTAAAATGAAGACAATTAAGGGATCATGAAATTGAAACGACTTAATTTAATATAACATACTGACATCTCCGACTGCTAAATAAAAGCTATATATGTTCTTTCTGGTTTCAACTCAATGATTCAAAATATTTGATATAATAATTACTTTATAAAAAAGTTGACTGGTAGCGGAAATAAATCTGTCAACATTCATCATGATAAGAAATATTCATTACGTAATATTTTTTGAGAATGCTGTACTGCTGTGCTACGATTTCATATAATTGTTTTTTTCTTTAGATGTTAATTTACTAATTTGCTACGCGCCACCTTCGTGCTGTTAAAAAGCAATATTCTATAACCAAGGAACACATCTTATAGAAAAGTTCCTTTGCCACTAAAAGCTCAAGCAATATATCTTTATACAAAATATTAAGATCCTTGTGTTATCAGATAAAAAGTTTATTAAAAGTAAAGTCAGTATATATCGAAAATAATGTGCCTAATAGATTATTTTCGATTTAAATTTAGTTAATATCCCACAACACTTTAGCTCTATAAAAATTGCTTCCATGTTAGTAAGCGTTGATGATACATGTGTTAGCGTCCCCAAAGAGATTTCAGATAACCGTGACATCGCGCCGAGAACTCTGGAAGGTGCGTTAAGTTGTGACAAGATTTGCCAATGGATATTTTCCTCAAAAGATATTCTGACATTCTTGATATGTCATCTATGATGTGTTATCAAAAATATCATTAAATGAATTGTCAGACTTTTTTGACTTTCCTCATTTTCGTTTAACGGTTTATCAATTTTTTTGTTCTTTACCCTTATATTCCTATGTCAATATTAAAATATATACACAAAGAAAATATATTTGTTTTTGACATGCCTGTGACATGTGAAATTAATAGTAAAGTTTATAAGAGATAGCTTGGAAAAGACTGCTAATAATATTTAAAGAGCCAGGGATGTCCAAATAACCATCTTCAAAATTTGTACATGCTCTTTGAGAGTCAAGTATATGCAGATAGATTTGTGTCGTGTGCCTGATAGCAGATTTCTTTATTGTATAGAGTCGGGATGTCAGATAAGTATTTGGAAAATAACAGATACAATAAATTAGAACAAATGCACCCAAAAATAGATAAACATAACGAGAGAAAAGAGTCAGAAGAAATATAAAAGCGATCCGAGAGCGCAAAAACCCGATTAAATTTTGGGTGGAGAGTTGTATTTTCTTTTTTTACATTCCTGTATTTTTAACAGGATTTTTTCCTATTAAAATGTCAGATTCGAGAGATAATATTTTTTTATATGTTTTTTAGATTTTGCTATATCTATCCTGAGATAAAGGCAAATAAAAGCACTATCTGTTATGTTGCAAATATTAAATCATGTATAATGAAAGTTTTGGTAAACTAAGAACAATATGTACTATGTATGTATGTACTTTAACAAGCAAATTTAAAATTCAATTTTTCTTGCTTTAATGCGTTCGTTTTAATGTGAATAATTTCGAATAGCATGTATAAAGTTTAATCTAATTGAATATCGCGTTAATCTATTGCTAAAAATTAATCCTAATTCACATAACATTTTTTCTTTAGAATAATTATTGCCTTAAGAGAGCAATAAACTGAATCCAAGCTAAACCTAACTCTGAACCTAAAAGTCATTTTCAGAACCAAGAGAAATCATAACTTACCGTAATAGTCGAATGCATGAGCTGAGAAGGGGAGGGAAAAAAATTGTACTTAGTTACGATATATCATAAGAATGCACTACACTAATAATACCTCTCTACACTCAGACCATTAGTTCCAAATACAAAAATCGATAGTGAAATTGTACAAAAGTACAAGAATTCTACAAAAGTATAAGAAAAAATTTCGTGTGTGGCTGCGATATGTTTGATAGTTTAAAAAAAGAATATATCTTATAGAGATAATAATAACAATATACACATTTTTTTCAGACGCTGTATATAACTTGTTTGTAAAAAAAATATTGAAAAAGTAAATAATGATAAATAAAAATGTAATTTTATCTTGATATGATTAAAAAATACTATGTATCTTGCAAAAACATAACAATAATAATGCTGAATGTAGTTAGGTGGATATAATTTTGTAAGTTCTTATATTGTGCGGTGCTTCTCGATTCCTACATATAAGAGGAAACGTACATATTCAGAATTTTTATGATTTTTAGGCTAATTAATGTTTATCTTTCACACATGTTCAACACTTTCATTTACTAGCAATTACAGTGTCAATTAGTTATGATAAATATTATGGCAAATAATTTCAATTTTTCAAGCTATATTTAATAGATGTGCTCTTTCTCAAATAAACGAGTTGCAATATCGCACTTACATCCCTTGTCACACTTATGCCCACCCTCTAAGTCTCTTTCAAAATTGATTCTCTTATTTTTTTTTTATTAATATATGGAGAAGACAATCATCAATGAAGCAAATAATTTTAGAAGCAATCATCTCCATCAATGTTAGAGTATATATTAGCAATTAGTACCTTATAAAGCATTAAGAAATACCATAAAAGGAGTTATTTTGATATCTTATACATATTTGTCAGATATTATTATAGACTCTGTTTTGTCATATATTAGACTATTTTTATATGTGTGTACTGGAGAAATATTGGTAATCATCATTTTGTGAGCACAAATACCAATCCTTTGCCAGCATGCATGAGTCATGATATAACAGTTTTGTCAAAATTTCATTTGCATTCCTAATTCGTGTTTTCCCCAAAAAACAGGATGTTTAGAGTTAATGTGCTGTGTAACTTTAACTTTTTCAGTTAATTATTCTGTTAAATTGCTGAAGCATGATTAAGCTTTTTTATAATGTAAGTAAATGATTATCTGTATGTGGAAGTATAAAAGCATGAAACTATTTTAGAGATAATCGAAATGACTTATTTGTTTAAATAAGACCAAAATATATAATATCTTAGCAAATATAGTATTCAATTACAAATTTCCACATACAAAATTCGTGTAGAATAGTTTCAATATGAAATTGATTATTTAGGAACTTATATATAATCTTCATGATTCCTCGTTGTCTTCACATAGTTTGAAATATATGAAGAACGAAAAATCACAGTGTAAAAAATATGCGGAGCAATGTTATTAAAAGCGTAAAGCACCCCAAAGATTCTACATTTCTTCGTTTGGAATCTGACGTATCTCTACCTCCACAATAGATTTCTACCTCTATAGTATAATGTCGTACAACAATTATGGAAGGGTAGTAAAAAAGTAGACAGAACATACATAGGTAGTTTGGTGCAGACCCACCTTTCCTGGGGCGCCACCAGTCAGTCTCAAAGTAGCCTGCGGAGCAAGAGTGAGTTGGTGTTGTTGTTGAACAGGAGGAGTAGATGGTGTATGCAGAGGACGATGTGGACAGTCCTTGTGTCCAACACCGGATGAATCGCGCGATCAGATTGTATCGCAAGACAAGGGAATACGCGTATGTTTAATTAACACCGCAAGATCAGTTAGGAAACATATATAAAGAATTTATTATGTATTTATATATATTTATGTATATATATATATGTATATATATATTTTTAGAATTTTTCCTTTAGCAGCATGTACTCCAAGATAATGAATTGGACAATTATGTAATTTAAAAAAAAATATTTTTCTCTATCAAAATTTAATTTTATCAAAAAATTAATGTCACATTATCATTTCTTTACACAGTAAAGTAGGTGGTATAGAAATAAAATATATAAAAATTATATAATTTGTTAATCATTAAAATAAATTGCTTATAATTCTTTTTTTATTAGCAGAATATAAGACTGAGATTAACAGTTAATAAAACATAATGTAAACATTCAGGAACTAACTGAATTTGCGGTTGTGTGTGTCATGGAAATGAAAATATTATATGTAAGAAGATTGCGCCACCACCAAAAGAATCATAATTTAAACCAAACCCAGCCTGATTATTATACATAAATGAATATGTGTATTATTTGTTATATGCCCGACTAATACATTTGTTACATACATAAACTCTAAGGCTCACAATAAGAAGAAATATTATTATTCATTTCCAGTAAATATTAATTATAATGTAATAATATATCATATTATTTATTTTCTTACATTGTTTTAAATAAATATATAGTCAGTATATATATTTAAATATATACTAATTAATGTGTTAAATTAAATGTATTAATTAATTTTTTGCATAATCATTTTTTTAAAGTAATCAATTTTTAATAAACAGATGTAATTTGATGTAACAATTAAAGCACTAAAGACAATACTCAATGTTATTTTTTAATACAGAGTATTGTTTGAATAATAAAATATAAAAAATTATGTAAAAGTGTTGAAAAATGTTAATCCCCCATAAATAATAAGAAAAAAATACAAAATTGTAATTGCACTGCACTAGATTATTAAATTCATGTTTTAAGAATATGTAAGTTTCCTCACCACTTGAAAATTAATCATAAAAAACAATTTAAAAGGTTAACTCAACCTTAATGTTATTTGTCACTCAAAGAAAATTTAAAAAATTGCGCTTATGTGATTTTTAATAATACTATTATTTATAGTTAACACACAAGAAAATATTGTTAAGACTTTAGTATGTGGTTACAGACTTGTAAACATACAATGTTGCAATTGAAAATGATATATATAATATACTCTCTCTTTTATACACCACCCACTTTACCATAGTCAATCATGTAAATTTTTTGATGTGAAAACTATGTGTAGTTTGATGATATTTCAGTGATGTTAAAAACACGCATTCTGAATGCATAAACTTGTGTGTAAACTTATATCAAAATAAATATTGATAATCAATGGAATTATTTAGCATAAAATAGCAAGAAAATGACATTGTTAAAAATTATATCATACAACATATAATATTTGATACACATCTGTCTACACTTGTAATCAATTAATCATATTTCAAGAATTTCCAAAAACAAATTATATTTCATCAATTCCATCAATATTTATATCTTCAAATGTTGTGAATTGAATACTGAATAAGAACACGTGTTTTCTAATATCTAAATATTTCTTTGCAAGATTATGAGTGAGATGTAACACTTATGTGCAATAAATAAATAATATAAGGGAAATATTGACTCACCGTCGTGGGATGTATGCGTTGTCTGAATAGTCTGCGTTTGTTTGCTGTAGACAACTGGTTCTTTTGGTGGAATGTTCGTATGGGCCACAGAAACAACTGTGAGCTCCCGATTCTTTTTCCGACTTGCGCTGCTTTGTACCAGAAAATAAGTATATAAAAATCGCCTTTGAAAATAAATATATACATATAAAAGGTATAAATCATATAAATACCTTTGAGCAGAATTTATGCTGGAAGGTTGCAAACTGGCATCTGGTGTAGCATTGGCACTTTGTTCAGGAGTTAACGAACTCATACTAGATAAATTAGATAATACATCTGAAAATAGATAAAAAATCAGAATGTTGCATAAAAAACAATATTTAAGCAAATAATATATATATAATCAAAAATATAATTATATACCTGATACTGGTGCTATATTCAAGCCACACAGCAATGCATCTATCTCCTTCTGCTGATCTTTCTCCGTGCCAGTCCCAACCCTAACAATCGCCTCCTCTACCTGTAATCCACAAATCATTTTAATATCACAATAATTGCATGTATATTTTTATATATGTATATATGAATGCAATATTTTTTGTTTCTCATTAAACACTTATATTTATCTCTTACATCTTTCTGTTCTTTTTCCCTCCTGCGTCTTTCCTTTTCTTCCCTGATAGCTTGCAATTTTGCCTTCTTCCTCTCCAACTCAGCTTTCCGATCAGACATCATCTTGTTGTATAGTGATCAATACCTGAGGAATTATACTACAAATCTTCTGATTGTATATTCAAGAGAGAGAGAAAAGATTTCAAAAAGATATCAATATATCTGCATTATAACTGGTAAGGAAATCGACGCAAATAAAAGCCCGATGCAATTATTGATCTTTCAGCAGTGACGTCAACTTCGTCCAAATCAAGGCGTTAAATCTCGCGAACGATTTTCTTTCCTTACTTAATCATGATATTGCTCAAGTTATTGTTCATAAAAATGTACACGAAAAGTTAATCGGTATTCAAGTTCGTGGCGCGAGTTTGAACACTGAAACCACTGCAAAACGAACTCGGGCGATGCCGACATAACGGCGCTACTTGGCCTTATACAATTTAGATATCATGGAAATGAAGTAGATAACAAAGGTTAGATTTCGTTTTACCTTCGTTATTAAGAATGCGTAGATTCAAGTGGCGAGAGAATTGATGAAAGTTTTATTTAGTCAATTCTACATTATTTTAAAGATTGACGTGTAATTCCCACGCGATCTTTTCCGCGAGAAACCGTGCAACTAAACCTTTACAAGTGTCTGCTGGATGCTGGGTCTGCTGTCAGAAGCCAGAAGAACGAATTGAAGATATCATCCGCCATCTAGCTACATTCCCACTTTTCGGAACTTTGTAGTATGTTTGAAACTTATTCACTGTTGGTAAAATACTCACTTTTAATATATATGTCTAAATTAAATTGAAATAAATATATTTATTGTCATTTTTATAGTTGCGATATAAATAATAAAATGCCTCAATTAATTTTGATTATAATAATTTTTTCAGGTATTATTTCAACTTAGCTGAAAGTTAGAATTGTGATTTAGTTTCGAAATTTATTCTTTGAGTTTGATTTAATATGTGAATTTCGATCACTTGAAAATATTAATTTCCATTTATCAATAATTGTGTTATATGTGCTTTCTAAATAGATATATGTCAAGACAATCTAATCTTGAGCATTTTATAACGATCCGAAATTGTTACATAATAATAAATTACGTTGTTCATTAAAGATGTCGATATCTTATATTATATTGGAGATATAATGCATTTCAGCATATATATATATATATATATATGTCTGTGATATTTATATTTTTCTTATGTTTGTGCTTGCTTTTTCAACGTTAAAAAAAGAAATATTCAACAATACAATTATTTTTTCGCTTCTCAGAGTTTATAGGTCTCACTTCGATCACGTTTCAAGCTCTTAAAAAGGTCGTCAAAATGCTAATCCCAGGCGGCGTGGAAACCTAGTTTAACACATGCCCAGCAGCGTTTAAAAGTTATGTAATTCCGGTGTTGTTTCAGCGCCAGTTCTTCAGTAGTTACAATTTCAGTCTACGTCTACGTCTGACAATAAAAATGAGTCCGGATTCTTATTAGCAATAGTTTTACAGTGGTCATCTCAATATTATTTCAAAATGATTCATTAATTAGAACATAAGAAATAATATTCAATCGCAGCGAAGAATCCAGAGCAAATATACATCGAGGAAAAACTATTTGTATACAGAAAACTGGCTATTCGATCAACGAAACGCGTTTAATATTAAATTGATTGAACAAATCATATAATTATTAATGCGAAGAAAATATCCGATTGAATCTAATAATTATTAAATTTAATTAACAATTATTAATAAATTAGATTGATAAAAGTTATCAACACATTGCACTAACATGTAATTCGTTGAATAAATTTACTTTTTTAACGAATATGATTGTCAATCTTCTTCATTCAAGCAGCCTTTTTCAGTTAGTGCGTCGCAAAATTAAATCAATTTATGAATATAATTTTCGATAAAAATCGGAATTTTTGATTAATAAAGATTATTTATTTAATCACTTAATACGCGTGCATAATATGACGAAGATTTTAACAGCTGTATACAGGCGTATTCTTGTCGATTATTTCGCGGGATGCGAAACGCGCGTTGCAGATATACATAATAGCGATTGATACAAACGAATAATATACTTTGCCGTTCCCACTCGCTGAGTGCTCGTAAATCCGCATTCGTGATCCCATTCGTTACATAGATTCCCAATCGGTCCGGCTACACGTCTCTTTAAATTGGTACGAGGGCTAAAACTCTCGGTGATCGCATGCTTTCTCCTCTCTTTCCACTTGTGCAAACAAAAAGATAAAAAAATCTTCATATCTTTGGAAAAGATGAATAATTATTGTATGGTTGAAGAGGATGCTTAACTTGGGCATTTAATTTGAATGATTAATTATTGTGACAATTTGTACATTTGTACTTTTGTTCGTACTTTACATTTAAATTTCCTCAATATTGACTTGTTATAGGAAACATGAGAGATTTAAATTAAAATTACAAAGGAAAAACGTGGTTTATTTTACAATTACTTTCTTATTTAATTATACACATGTTTAGGCATTTGTGTTGTATGAACGGTATTTGTTTGGCTAAATAAATAAAAAATAATTGGCTAGCATACATAAAAGAAAATATATTACTTAATAATTAGGCGTACAACAATGCTTACAATCTCAACATTGTCATTAATTGCTAGTAGAATAAAATGACGACACACGCATATGGATAAATTTGTCACGTGCCAATTTTTCGTTGAAACGCGCTATCAAATGATGTGAATGTGCCATAATCTATGATAACGTGCATGTGAATTACGAACGCGGGAACAAGTTAGGACTGTTTTATCGCTGAGTGAAAATCTCAATTAATTGCAATTACCTGTGAAATTGCTGTCGGAATTAATGAAGAAATACTTTTTATTCTCGCTCTCTGAATTGCGGAAGATAACGATCGTGTGATAATTACGTACAATGAAACTGTCAGTTATGATGATACAGCCGAACCAAGAGATTACTTCAATAGATCAAATCGATGTAATATTCCCGAGAAATTGACCAAGGGTTTTTATCTTTGAATATTTTTCACGATATTCGCCAATTCTCGATTATCTCCAGTAATGCATTTGCGTCGAGATTAGATTTTTGCAAAATTTTGATTCATAAGTCGCTCAAAAATAACTGTGTGGAAATCGAACTATTGCAAGAGAGAGAAGGATCTTGATTAATTTATCTCGTGCGTAAAAACATTTCACACATGATCTGATCCCAAGAGCATCCGCATCGAAAACAGATCACCGACAGATCGATTTGCCGCGAAGGGACTCATCGTCGAAGAGCAGTGATTGCCCCTCCTTTCCCCTTTAGCAAAAAAAAAAAAAAAAAAAAAAAAAAAAAAAAAAACGCGAAAAAATTGCTCCGCGGGAACTTTCGTAATGCACCATGTAATACGGAGCAATTGCTTTTTCGTGGAAGCGGGTGCGGTGCGGCGCGCCGTCAAATCGGAGGGTTAAGGGCGCGGGAGGAAAGAAACGGGGAAGGGAAGGGTGAATGATCGTGGAGGAACGGGTAGCATCGAGACACACGATCAAAAAGAAACTTCTAAATTCAGCCACGCGAAATTAGCTTGACACTAATTCTACGGGGGAGCATGGGCAAGGCTAAGAAGCCAGCCAGAAAAGATTGGCCTGTGAGGGAAGGGGGGAGGGATTAAGGCGACTTCGCGTGATCCCTCATACCGACTTCGCGTGTCGAAGTCTGATTTGCTTTGTTGAATCAAGTGTACACGGGGGTTGTTCGCTCGCAAAGGCGAGGAGAACGAGATAGTGTGCGGAGAGTCGTCTCCTCCCTCTCTCTATATCCACCCGCTTCCTCCTCACCCTCTCCCCCTTCATTCCTTTAGCCGCGTCGGCTCCGCTTCCATCATTTTCGTCGGCAATTAGATCGCCGATGGAACTCATCCGACTTGTCAGTCTCTCCACCGCTCTCTTCCGCGGGGGTATTTTAAACTGACGTTATCGCTGCTGGCTGACATATCAGCTGCATCTTTATTTAATTCGCTCGTCAGGCCGAATTCGTCCGCTTTGAATTGAACAGATCATCGATATATCATTAATTACCTATGTCGGAACGAGATCTGAAAACAGATTAAAAGTGACCGCGTCACGATAAGAATTTCGATAGATATTCGAAAGACTTAAATAATACGTTAGAATTATATCAATTATTTGAATATTTTGGGTATTATTCAAGTAAATACAGGGTCCAAATGTGCAATTTTAGGTAATATATCTGATTCAATCTCACATTTTGACAGCTTGCTTATAGTACTTCAAGTTTGCAATGTAGTAAGAAGGATATTTTATTCTGATTCGATGGTAAGTTTTAATCTTAATGGCTAATATATATTTTGCAGGTGTAATTTTCGCCAACGAGTTTCGCGGTCGATAAATAAAGATTTATCGAGCAGTAACAGCCGCAGAGACCATGTAGAGACGATAGATTCGAAAATTATCTCGCTTTGTGGCTTGTTCAATGGAGCCTGAAAATAATAGCTCATGGAACGTATCTACGATTATTTTTGGAATCTAATGTATAGAGGTGGAACGATTTATCATATAACTGTCTCTTTGCGGAAGATAGATGAATTGAAATTTATTTCATCTTGCTTCGTCTATTTGTAACCTGGTCGAAACAACATTTTCGCGTAATGGTAACATATAATTTTTTGTTCAGATTATATCTTTGGCGGGCAGGAGAGATAGACATCGTCTTCGCATAAATCAGCTGCGGAGAACCGAGTCCACGTGGCAATTAATTATAGAAGTGCCATGCAAACGTCATATCTGGGTTGTCGGTTCAGGGCCGGTACGGCTTCACGGATGTGCGGTTTTGATATCTCTCAAACATTTCGTCAGATGAGCGGGCATACTGCTTAGTATGGGTATGTGTGTGTTTGTATGTGTTTGTATGTGCGCAAACATATATGCATATATGTATATATCTCCCTCTCTCTCTCTCTCTCTCTCTCTCTGTAAATATGTGTATGTACGTGTGTTTATACCGTGGCAAGTGGCATCTACACGGATTCCCTTTCGCATTACGCTAGGCATTTCTGTTCATCGTACCGGAAACGGTATAGTCTGGCCACCTCTATCTCGCAGATCCCGCATCCTCTCTCTTCATCCTTTTCTCGCTCTCTTCCAACAGATAAGTGGAAAGCCAGCAGGACGTAGGTCGAAGTTTTGGTGGATTTACGGAATCTCAAATTCGTACCGGCATAAGCCGGATCTGGCCTCTCTCCGGTCAAACGGTTAAAGGTCGACCTTGTCGCGGCTGGGCAGCCAGCTTTTGCGGAATGGGACGGAGATGTTGATGGTCCTCCTTCACCTTTACCACGGATGGGAAAATACGAACGAAAGGACGAAGAGGATGGAAACGAACCCCACATTCGGCGCCGCAGACTACGGCTGATGAACCACCTGGTGGACGCGCGCACCGCTTCGAAAAGGCAGAAAGCAAAGTTCTAGCAACCGTACCTTGCGTCCATTCGCCTGGTTTCCTTCGCTTTCCCTCTATCCCTTTCTCCAGCTTTTCAATGCTCTCAATCGTCTTCGTCGTACGTTTCATTCCTTAATGCTTTTAACGTTTGTTTTCACGCAGTTAACATGTAACGAATCAAATAATGGATTATTTGCGGAGATTTGTCAATGTCCAAGCAACTTGAGACATGTAGTGATACGTTTGCAC